GGGCCCAGCCCAGCGGAGGGGACTCAGGTCCACCCACTGCCTCCTCTGGCCAAGGAGCACACCACAGCTGCTAGCTGGAAGGAGGGAGCTGGGCCGAGCTGCTGAAATCTGCTCTGACCTCACCTGCGACCTTCTTATGATCTGGAGAGCACCAGCACTACTGCCACTGCCTGAAGGAAGGAGCAGTCCTGCTGAGGAGGTTTGAGGCCTACTTAGGCCATAAAGGAACCTTCTATAAGCCTGGGGAGTTTTGCCATCCAAGGAGCTGGATTGTTACAAAACATCCAATCCCTGGGAGATTATGAGATCCTTGCTCTAGGGGGTTGGGGGCCCACTGGGCTTGCAGCCACACTATACTGGGCTTAACAGGATTTGGGATTGCCTGGATCACACCAGGTGGCCTTCTATCCCTCAGGGGAGCTTTGCTACCAGAAGGGGAAACCGTGTAAATTGAGGAGGCTTTAGGTCTACCTGAGAGGAACCTGGCAAGTCTCTTTTAATCCAGGAGCTCTGCTGCCCAAGGAGGGAGCTACTACCAGAGGAGTCCCAAGAGCCCAGGACATAAGAGTCAGTTTACAACAGGACAAGGGGAAACTCTGGGACAACACTTGAAACACAGTAATATAGGATGACAAAATGAAAAGACCAAAATGCAATCTCAAACATCCAACCCATCCCAAGAAAGCCTAGGAGCCATGTACATAGAAGAAAATACATGCCATATACTTGAAATACCTGAAGCAATACTAACCGAAATAAAGAAGCAGCTCCGGGAAGCTTTAAACGAATTCAAACTAGAAATAATCTATCAGGTAAAAGAAGAAATAATAAAAGAAATGAAGGAAATGCTGAACATATCTAAAGAAGACACAGCTAAAAATTGGAGAAACTAAACAAAAGGATAGAATCTCTGGATGAACAATATAAGAAACAAACAGAATATATAAAACAGATGCAAAGAGATATACAGGAAATCAAAAGCTCCATTGAAAGTTGTAAAAACCGCCTGAATGAATGTGAAGATAGAATTTTGGACCTCGAAGACATGATTGCAGCCAGTGAAAAGGAAAGGAAAGATCTTTTAAAAATAACAAAAAATCAAGAAATAACAATTCAACACCTGCAAGATGACACAAAGAAAAACAACATAAGGTTGATAGGGATAAATGAAAAAGAAGGAGACAATACAAAGGCTGTCAAGAGGCTATTTAGAGAAGTAATTGCTGAAAACTTCCCAAACATGAAATTGGAAACTGATATCAGGATCAATGAGGCATATAGAACTCCAAATAGCCATCACCAAAATAAAACTACACCCAGACATATAATAATCACCATTCCAGAAATCGAACAAAAGAATAGAATATTAAAAGCTGTCAGAGAGAAAAGACAGATCACCTATAAAGGAAAACCTATCAGAATCACAGCAGACTTCTCAACACAAACAATAAAGGCAAGAAGAGCATGGAGTGAAGTATTTCAGACCCCAAAGGAAAATGATTTCCAACCTAGACTGATGTACCCTGCAAAACTGTCCTTCAAAACTGATGGAGAAATAAGATACTTCCATGACAAAGAACAGCTGAAGGAATTCATGATCACCAAGCCCATCCTGCAAAGAATACTGAAATACAGTCTAGATACACTTCAGAAAAAAACACTTAACAAAGCAGACAACTAAATAGAACAGAAAGATAAAGATGCAACAGCAGAAATATAACATGTCACCAACAAACCAATATATAATAGTTATAACCATTAATGTAAATGGTCTCAATGCACTAATTAAAAGAAATAGACTGGCTGAATGGATCAAGAAACAAAATCCAACCATATGCTGTCTACAAGAAACCCATCTAACCCAAAAGGATACTCACAGACTGAAAGTCAAAGGATGGAAAACAATACTTCATGCAACAGGAACCCAAAAAAAAGCGGGGGTAGCTATTCTGTTTGCAGACAATGTGAACTTCAAACCAATAATGATCAGAAGAGATAAAGCAGGTCACTACATACTGGTTACGGGAAAACTTCAAGAGGAAGAGATAACTATCTTAAATATATATGCACCAAATTCCAAAGCACCCAGTTATATAAAACAAGTAATGTCAGAAATGAAAAACCAAATTAGCAGTAATACCATTATAACAGGAGATTTTAACACACCATTGACACCAATGGACAGATCAACAAGACAGAAAATCAGCAAAGAGATAAAAGAACTGAATCACACCTGTGAACAAATGGAATTGATAGACATATACAGAGTATTCTGCCCAACAAAAACAGAATACACATTTTTCTCAACAGAACATGGGTCATTCTCTAAAATAGACCATATATTAACTCACAGAACATATTTAAAGAAATGCAAAAGAGTTGAAATCATCCCCTGCATGTTATCTGATCATAGCACTATGAAATTAGTAATTGATGAGCAAATTAATTAGTAAATAATTAGCAAAAGTCCCATAAATACATGGAAACTGAATAACACACTCTTGAGTAATCAGTGGGTCACAGAGGAAATCAAAGAAGAAATTAAACAATACCTACAAACAAATGAAAACACAAATACAACTTACCAGAATCTGTGGTATGCAAGGAAAGCTGTCCTCAGAGGGAAATTTATTGCACTGAGTTCCCACATCAGGAAAACAGAACAAATACAAATAAATAACGTGATGCTACACCTCAAACATCTAGAAAAAGAAGAGCAAGTCAAGCCCAAAGCCAAAAGAAGAGAGGAAATAATAAAAATCAGAGCAGAAATCAATGCAATAGAGACTAAGAAAACAATACAAAGAGTCAATGAATCAAAGAGTTGGTTCTTTGAAAGAATAGATAAAATTAATAAGCCCCTAGCCAACCTTATTTTAAAAAGGGAAGAAAAAGCTCAAATTCATGCAATAAGGAATGAAAAAGGTGAAATCACTACAGACCCAATAGAAATACAGAAGATCATCAACACCTATATCAAGAACCTCTACTCTCAAAGGTTTGATAACACAGAAGAAATAGACAGATTTCTAGAAGCATATGAATTACCAAAGCTAGGTCAAGAAGAAGTCAAACTGCTAAATAACCCAATTTCTATTAAAGAAATCGAAAATGTAATTAAGTCATTATCTACAAAGAAGAGCCCAGGCCTAGATGGATTCACTACAGAATTCTACAAGAAATACAAAGAGGACATAATGCCGACACTCCTCAAACTCTTCAATGAAATTGAAAGTGAAGCAATCCTTCCCAAGTCATTCCTGGAAGCAAACATTACTCTAGTACCAAAATCTGAGAAAGACCCAACTGAAAAAGAGAACTACAGACCAATCTCCCTAATGAACACAGATGCAAAGATTCTCAATAAAATATTGGCAAATAGGATGCAGCAAGTCATCAAGAAGATTATAAACCATGACCAAGTGGGATTCATTCCAGGTATGCAGGGATGGTTCAATATACATAAATCAATAAATGTAATCCACCATATCAATAGAGTCAAAAGTAAGAATCACATGATCATTTCTATAGATGCAGAAAAAGCTTTTGATAAGGTACAACATTTATTTATGATAAGAACCTTACAGAAAATTGGAATAGATGGTCTTTACTTCAACATAATAAAGGCCATCTATGACAAACCAACAGCCAGTATCATATTAAATGGCCAAAAATTGAAGGCCTTTACTTTAAAATCAGGCACAAGACAAGGATGTCCTTTATCACTGCTCCTATTTTATAAAGTATTGGAATTACCAGCCAGGGCAATTAGACATGAAAGAAAAATAAAAGGCATAAAGATAGGAAAAGAAGAAGTTAAATTATCACTATTTGCAGATGATTGGATACTGTACATAGAAGACCCCCAAAACTCCATTGAAAGACTCCTAGATATAATAAATAAATTCAGCAATGTGACTGGATACAAAATCAATACTCAAACATCAATAGCATTCTTATACACTAACAACAAAATCACAGAGAGAGAAATAAGAGAAGTCACACCCTTCACACTAGCAACCAAGAAAATGAAATATTTAGGAATTACTCTCACAAAAGAAGTGAAAGACCTATACAGGGAAAATTATAATACATTGAAAAATGAAATTGAAGATGATCTCAGAAAATGGAAAAACATCCCTTGCTCATGGATAGGAAGAATAAATATTGTGGAAATGACCATTCTCCCAAAACTATTATACAGATTCAATGCAATCGCGATAAAAAATACCATCAGCATACCTCATAGATTTCGAGAAATCAATCCTAAAATTCATCTGGAGTGAGAAGAGACCTAGAATAGCAAGGACAGTTTAAGCAGCAAAGGCAAGGCAGGAGGCATCACAATCCCTGACTTGAAGTTATACTACAAAGCAACAGTAGTAAAATCAACATGGTACTGGAATCAAAACAGAGCCGAAGACCAATGGAATAGATTAGAAGATACAACAACAACTACAAACACACTCAACCATCTTATCTTTGATAAAGGGGCCAAACAGGTTCACTGGAAGAATGACAGTCTCTTTAATAAATGGTGTTGGATAAACTGGCTCTCCATATGCTGAAAACTAAAACTAGACCCATGCTTGTCACCATATACTAAAATAAAATCTAAATGGATCAAAGATCTAAATATTAAAACAGAAACACTAAATCTATTGGAACACAAATTGGGTAAAAACCTTGAAGACATAGGGGTATGTAGAGAATTCATGAACAAGACTCAAACCGCACGGGAAATAGTTCCCAGAGTCAATAACTGGGATCACATATTATTAAAAAGTTTCTGCACATCGAAAGAAATCTCTAACATAGCGAAAAGAAAACCCACAAACTGGGAAAAAAATCCTAGTGTACTGTCCCTCAGACAAAGGACTTCTGTCTAAAACATACAAAGAATTAAAAAATCAGACCCCCAAAATTCAAAGACCCCATCCAAAAATGGGCATCAGAGATGAATAAACAATTTTCAGATGAAGAAATACAAATGGTAAATGTTGGGAGCCGTGGCACTGTCAAGTCATCAGACGCGGTGATTGCGAGGCCTGTGGGAAAGTACAAAAGCCTGGGCTAGATTACCCCTCTCATCGAGCCCGCCTGTGTGGCACCTGTTTCTTATCACCCCACTAAGTTCCCGCCTCACAGGGTAGTCTGCCTAGCTATTAATCCTATATATAGCCAGTGCCTCCACCCCCGAGAGAGAGAGAGACTGAAGCACAAAAGGAGCCACGGGGAGCGGACCGGTAGAGGCTTCGGGGCAGACTGAAGCACGGAAGGAGCCGCGGAGAGCGCACCGGTAGAGGCTTCAGGGCAGACTGTATAAGGAGAGAATAAAGAAAAGCCTGACCACCGCCAGACCTTGTCGTGTGTCTTTCCTGCCGGCCGGGAGCGGACATCGACATTTGGAGGCCCGCACGGGGATTGATCAACCCCGAGACGCGGCGGTGGACTGCATTCTCCTACACAGTGCTGCAGCTGCAGGACAGGTGAGTAGAGGATAAGCCTGGGCCCTGGGTGGCGCGCACCTACAGGGTTTGTAGACTCCTCTCAACCTCACGCGTAAGTGGCGGGTTTCTTGGGCCTCACGCGGTGAGTATGAAACATAACACCAGAACTTAAGGTAATAAAAGAGTGTAAAACATAAACATAGAAGTAAAAATAACAGAAGATATATTAAAAATGGGAAACATGCCAAGTAAAGATACACAGCCTTGGTGTTGGTCCTTCGGAGACTCCTAAAGTCCAAGGACCTCAAGGTGGGGCGTAAGACTTTAGAAAATTTCCTTGCAGAGATTGACAGCTTTGCTCCCTGGTTTCTGCCTACAGGGCATGTAAACCTGCCCTCCTGGGAAAAGTTGGGCAGAGACCTTTCCCTAGCAGAGCGGGAGGGTAGAGCTTCAGTCTCTGCTCGTCCATTGTGGGAAATGATACACACGTGCCTAAAGAGTGAGGGTAGTTACGGGGGGAGCTCTCAAGAACTTGTAGAAGTACGCGAGGTGTTTGAACAGGCACAGTGAGGAAGCTCCCGAGAAGGGTCCGTCAAGGAGGGCAGAGATACAAAAGAGGAAGCCGAGGCGCGGTTTGTGTCTTTCCGCAGGAATCGGGACGAGAACCAATGTGGGTCCCAGAGAGGTTGACGCGACAAGTCCCTCGACTGAAGATCAGGCCTGTTCCACCAGAGGCCAACCGCAGACCCAACAACAAGATGAGCCCTAAAAGAACTGCAGGACAATCCCTTTTTGGGGGCCTGGAACGGCTTGCTCCCCTATGTGCTACCCTTGTATACGCATGGCTCGCTCGCATGGCCTACGACCGCGTTTAAAAGTGACAGGCTTCCCACATTCTCCTCCCTAGACAACAACATGTAGCAGGGTGGGTGAGTCAATGACGGGTAAGAGCGTGCCTCCCCAGCACGACTCAACCTAAGCCAGGCCCTACCCCGTTCCGCTCGAAAGCCGCTGGATTGTTAGATAAATTTCTCTCCGAGGGGATTCGTGGAGAGAAATGAGTGCATGCCTATGTGCAACCAGGTTCCGTCCGGTTCATTCCTGGCCCTAGAAAAAAGGACGAGGGCCTGAGGGCCTTGGTGGACCCTGGGACGGCCGACCAGGGTCTACGCTAAGGGCCTACGGTGGGCCTCAGTTCGGGGCATAGGCCTCTGCACTCTATCCAGGACGGGCTGCGATGCGCGTAGCCATCATTTAAAATAAAATAGGGGGAGATGTTGGGAGCCGTGGCACTGTCAAGTCATCAGACGCGGTGATTGCGAGGCCTGTGGGAAAGTACAAAAGCCTGGGCTAGATTACCCCTCTCATCGAGCCCGCCTGTGTGGCACCTGTTTCTTATCACCCCACTAAGTTCCCGCCTCACAGGGTAGTCTGCCTAGCTATTAATCCTATATATAGCCAGTGCCTCCACCCCCGAGAGAGAGAGAGACTGAAGCACAAAAGGAGCCGCGGGGAGCGGACCGGTAGAGGCTTCGGGGCAGACTGAAGCACGGAAGGAGCCGCGGAGAGCGGACCGGTAGAGGCTTCAGGGCAGACTGTATAAGGAGAGAATAAAGAAAAGCCTGACCACCGCCAGACCTTGTCGTGTGTCTTTCCTGCCGGCCGGGAGCGGACATCGACAGGTAAATAAATATATGAAAAAATGTTCAGCATCACTAGTCATTAGAGAAATGCAAATTAAAACCATGCTGAAATTTCATCTCACTCCTGAAAGAATGGCCAATATCAAGAAATCCACCAACAACAAATGCTGGAGAGGCTGTGGGGAAAAAGGAACTCTCCTGCATTGTTGGTGGGAGTGTAGACTAGTGCAACCATTGTGGAGGTCAGTCTGGAGATTTCTCGGAAAGCTAGGACTGGAATCACCAATTGACCCTGCTATTCCACTTCTAGGCATATTCCCAGAAGAACTGAAAACATCATACCACAGTTGATATATGTGCACCCATGTTTATAGCAGCACAATTTGTAATAGCCAGATCTTGAAAACAACCTAAGTGTCCATCACCTGAGGAATGGATAAAAAAGTTGTGGTATTTTTATACAATGAAGTACTACTCAGCTATAAAGAATGATCACATTGAGACATTTATAAATAAATGGACGCAGCTCGAGACCAAACTCATAAGTGAAATAAATCAAACTCACCTCTATAAATACCGAATAGTTTCCCTAGTGTAAGAAATGATAAGAATACATGAAAGTACGTGGTAATCATGATTCCCATTCACATTGGTTTGAAGCCATATAATGTTTTCACTCATTAATTGGAATGGTTTTAATTTGGGTTGTTTTATTTTATTGTCTGTGATACTACAAATAACTATTTTGTAGAAAATACGAGCGTAATAGCTAGCGCTGATTTAATATCATCCTGTTTTGAAACCCCATCAAGTTGTTGTTCATTTGTTTCCATTGGTTCTAACATGTTGTATCTTATTATATCTTAATGTATGTGATAGTATAAGCAAGTTTTTTTATAGACAAAGAGATAATATAGAAATTGATGTTTGGTTTCTGCTAGTTGGTTCTAAGTACCCTGAAATAATTTCATTCTTTTTCACACTGTCTTGATAAATTTGATGCTATAGTATATGAAGTTAGATTCAAATATTTCAAGGAAAGAGTCACTATGGTAACTACTATTAATGTCAAGCTATCTGGGGGGAAACACAACAATGCTTAAATTTTTCGGTTCTGACTGGTGTTGTTCTATTGATGTTTTTTATCTGTCTCCCCCCCTTTTTCTTTCTTTTTTTAATTAATTTATTTCTTAGTATCTTTTAACTAAGGGAAAACTAAATTAAAAATAGTGCGATAGATTATAGTAATTTTTTTTGTTTCCCTATTAACCTGATTTGAACCCCTGTATTGTTCTCCACATCTTGTTCTGACTGATTTTATTATATTCTGTTTCGCTTAATAGTATCAAGTTTGAGGGTATAGGCAACCATTTGGAAGGCAACCAGATATTCTATGATGCCCGTTATTATTTGACTATTATCTTCTTTGGAATCCTGTAAGCTCTCCAATGTGGTTTTATTGGTCTTATGTACAGTTTTATTCAGTTCTTTTATACCAGCTGATATAGGCTACTCTTTTTAGGATAACAAGAGGCATAATGGTAACCACTGTTGAACACCTGGTAATCCTTTTTTTTTTTTTTCATTGTATACTATGTCCATCCTCCTGATCTAACTGACTCTGTTTTTCTTTGTCACATTGGGTTTTTCTTTGGTCCATCTTGTTTTGTTTTGTGTTTTTTGGCTTTTTTAAATCTTTTTTCTTTTCCTCTCCAAAGAAAAAGTTATGAAAACTGTGGAAGTAATGGAAACTAAAATGTGTGATTGTTAGCATAAAAAAGAGAGGAAGGAAAGTGATCTAAAGGATATAATTGCAAGTATATTTATGTGTAGGATAGAGAACCATATTGCTGAGTTTTTCTTGGATCATTGAACAGAACTGACTGCAATCTCACTGTATTAATCTCCACTTTGTATGCTTTAATTTTGCAATCTGGACAGCTGGTTGTAAGATGACAATGTGTGATCTATTAACTGGTGAACTCTTACTGCATATTTTTTCTCTTGAAATTCTATATTACTTCTAGCCTTTTACTGTCTTGCTTCGTTTAGTTTTGTTTTTCTCTTTAAAAAAAGATACAACAGAGAAAGACAGAATTTCGTGTGAAATTTTGAAGACTGAACAGTTATTTTTCTAGGCTGGATCATTCATTCAGAGAAACAATATTTCTCTGAAATGGGTACACTGTCTGAATTTTGCCACTTAGGGAAAACACATAAAACTTCCAGCCACTATGGTTAGACAGATCACAAGGAGTAACATCCATAATTCAGAGATGTCTAATAATCTTAAGACAATGAATGCAATAATTAACATAGAGTCTATTATTTTAAAACTTTCTGAAAATTAGAAACAAAGAAAACACTAATGCAGGAATTGGACTATAAATTTCACTATTTTGGGGGGTCTGGGCAGAAAATTTTATTTTAAACAGGGTAAACTATTCATAACAAAACAGAACAAAGCAGATCAGAAGAAAACAATGCATGTCACACTAATTTCAAAGCAAGACAACAGGAGATTATCACTGGTACCGTAAAGTCTCTTATTTTCTTCTGAATATTTGTCCGTATCTTCACACACAATTCATACACAACAAAATAGTATTAAAGTGATCAGAACAGAATGATGAAGGCATTAGGCCTTGAAAACCAGACAATAGGGAAATCAACAATGGCTACCATAATTGCTCTTGTTCTCTTCAAAATAGCTGTCCATATCTTCTAGTATGTTGAAAATAAACAGTACAAAATACTCAAATCAGTCTGAACAAAGAATAATAATGTTGCTGGATTTCACATCATGATGCTAGGGAATCAGCACTGGATACGTAGTATCTCTTTTTCTTCTAAGTAGCTGTTCATTTCATCATGCATTATATAATCAATTGTCATAAGCTGTTTAGGAGAGGTTTTATGCATGTATGAGTCTCTACATGTTTTCTGTAGCAGACAGAAAAACAAAAAACAAATTCATTGAAAAACATGAAAGAAAAAAGACAAATAAGAATAGTAAAATGCCCAAAACATTGCCAATATAGACCTTCCAAAAAAGGTGGTAGGAGCATAACTAGGGTTGTTGTTTTACATACTAATCTTCAAGAGTTTCTCAGATCATCATACAATGATATGCACAATTGTCCCAATCCTATGAATGCTAACATTTTTCCAAGAAATTATAGAATTTGTAGCACAATCATCTTACCTATTCTGTGTATTTATATAATTTTAAATGTTTTTTTAATTTTCATTCCTTTTTCTTTTTCCTCACTTTCCCTGAGATATTGTTTTTCCCCTTTATGCAGGTTCTTATCCTTTCACTGTATTTTATCTTATGTATTATTATCTGTAGAATAAGAAATTCTCTTGGTTTATAAAAGTATCTGGTATCCTAGAAATTTTAATATTCTCATGTCAAATTGTACCTTCCCATAATTTCTGTGTTTTTTGCAGGGACTTAGGACATTACATGGTTGGCCAAGCACTGTGTCAATGAGCTACAGCCCTCACTGCTCCTGAATTCTTATTGAGGAAAAGGTGGGGACAGTGTAAGATGGTAGCAACTTAGTATTCCCTGTGCAACCAGTAAACTGCTGGAGAGCTAAATAGGGGAATCTTAAGGTAAAAAGATTTCAACAGTAAAGAAACAGAAGCTGCATGTAATGTGAGAAAGTCACCCAAGAACACTGAAAGCCACAGCCTTCCTGACAGTGTGTGGCTATGTGCTCCATGCCAAGCCATATCTGAACTCTTCACAACACCGAATTACAGCCTCACCTCCATGGGATGCCTGATGAAAAGGAGTAACGCATTTCATATGGCGTTCTTTAAAAACACCACAGGCATGAATTCTGAGCTACATGCAAGAATAAAGTATCAAATCAAGTCTATAGCATATTTCTATAGTTGAGAGATTCACACATCAGCTTAACATACAGAGCAATTGAAGACTCATCAAAGAGTTTAAAAAACAAAAGCTTATAAACCAGGTGTGGTGGCTCAAGCTTGTAATCCCAGCACTCAGGAGGCTGAGGCAAGAGGATCGTTGTGAGTTCAAGGCCACTCTGGGCTACAAAGTGAGTTCAAGACCAGCCTGGACTCCAAAATGGGACCCTGTCTCAAGACAAAAAAAAAACCTTAGTACTCTTTATAATTTTTGCCTTAGAAAACACTGGCACTTTAGAATCTCATTTTACCATATGATTATTAAAGTTAATATGAACTTTCTAGAATGAACATGCTTGTGTCAATTTTTATCTAGTACTGCAAATTTTTATATACAATTTTATGGGCCTGGGTAAACTTTGTACCTATTGAGTAAATATTATTTCTTCAGCTTTCAGAATAAGATACATGTAGATAAATCTCATATGGGATCAACACAAGTGCAACAATTAACTGGTTTCCTGGTTATTAATTATAATGCAGACATAATAATAGGTTGCATGATTAAAGTATAAATCTCAGTGGTTTGATATTTTTAGATATCAAATATCACAGTGATCAACTCCATAACAATTTTATTTTCCAAAATGAAGCATGCCCATTCATATATAGCCTTTATTTTCCCTGGAAATTCTCCACCATATCCCTAAGCAAACATCAATCTATTTTAATCTCTAAGGGGTTTCATATTCTTGTCATTTCAAATAAATGTTATAAAATATCTGGTCCTTTGTGGTTATCTTCTTTCACTTAGCAGAAACCTAGAAAATTTTGTCCCGTGAGCTGCAAAACCAAAAAATAAAGGCAAAAAAAGTAAGCAAGTCATACAATGCTTATTTTAGTTTTGTTGTAACTATCTCTGAGAGTGCCCAGGCAGGAAAGAAGGAACTGCCTCAATCCTGCTTGGAGGCCCAAGTCCAGGTTCTACACCCTCTGTCCACTGAGGTCATGTGATTGCAGTGTCCCTGCTTGTCAACATATGACAGCTGCCCTGAGCTACTCAACGCACTTGGCTTTCACTTGTCTGTTAAGGAGTGGACTGCAGTT